TGTGGTTCACAGGGAGCACCCACCCGCCGTGTGCCCAAGTTATGCCCTATTTACGGATGAGGAATCTGAGCTCTAGCAAGTGAAATGAACTTTCCCAGGTCATCCAGTTGGGAAGTGTGGATTTGCACCCAGGCCACTTTGATTCTTGATGCTGAAATGCAGTGATGCAGGTGTGAAGGGGCAGATATCACCAAGCTGTCACTAGGGGCCAGGTCACACCAGCCAGAATGCTGGGGTGAGCATTTGTACTTGGTGAGACACTGGGGAGCCATGCAGGGTGTAACTGTGGGTGAGGGGGGACTCAGACACCCCTACAGGCTTAAGTCTTTGTGTTAGGGTGTTGGGGGAGGGATGTCAGGAAGGCCCCGCTCTGAGTGTGTTCCCTTTGTACACACCCCATGGAAACATCATTATACCCTTGGGTCACCATAGCATCACCTTAGGGCCACCCTCTTCAGGGAAACTGAGACCCAAAGCCTGGGATGTGCCCATTGGCTCCATCTCTGCTCCAGCAAGACTCATTTTTCCATTCTTGCAGCATCTGTACCCCCACAATACAACAGTGATGGTGTACCTCTTCCTGCTGCCCTCCCAGCCCCCCACACAGTCCGTCAGTGCATGGGGCCCCTTCAAGCCATTCCCCCACAAAAGGCTGCCTCAGTCCCTTTGGAGGTTACACAAAGGGTGCTCCATGGGCTTGGCATGGGAAGAGTTTTAGGGCCACATCAGTCAATGACAAACACATCAACCAGGGGTTCTTTACTTCTGGAGTCAGTAGAACCTGATCCACACAGGTGTCCCCCTGAGGGCAAGTCAGGAGCAACCACCACCACCATGATAACAGTGATAACATTTATGTCCTCTGTGGCACGCACAAATGCATGTTGCCCCACTGCCGCAACTACCCTATGAGTGGGCTCCTCACATCTCCATTTTCCAGAGAAAGAAACTGAGCCACAGAGAGGACATTGATTTGCCAGGATCACGGAGCTGCCTGCTTTCCAGGCTCTGACACACCCACGGGGAGGGCTTCGAATGCCAGGCTAAGGGGGCTGACTGGATGTCAGGAGGCACAGCGAGCCACAGAGGGTCCTGAGCGGGGGTGACCTGGTTAGATTTACAATTCCGAAAGAGACTCATAAAGCATTAGAGTCGGAGGGGCCTTGGGGGCTGTCTGGTGAAGCTGCCAGCTATAAGGCAGCAGAGAGGGGCTCATGAGAAACTCAGATGCCCCAGCTCTAGGATTCCAGGCCAGGCCCTTCCACCTCTGTGATTCCTGCTGACTCCTGGCTCCCTAAGGTATGATGGGGTCTAGGAGGTGGAGCCCGGACAGCCCTGGGATAACTCCTCATCACAGGAGGTGCTGGGGCACCTGCTCCTCCAGACAGTTCCCTGGTCCCCAACCTGCTCCAGGCCCTAGGCCCAGGCTGACACCCCTGATATGCCCAAGCCAAGGGCTGGAGAGCCCAGGGTGTGTTGAGAAAGTTAAGTCTGGAAATCAGGCCTTTGGAGGAAAGTGAGAGGTTAAGGCATAAGAATTGGAAACAGGACATTGGGGAGACTTGGGAGCCCACTATGCCCAGTAGGACATCACACACACTCACACACACCCTTCCAAATGGGCAGAGGGGCAGTAAGCCCAGGAACTACCACCCTGGGCAGAATGCCGCTCCACTACTTACCTGCTCTCTGACCTCAAATGATGGCCACCATGATGATATTGAGCAAGAACCTGGTACCAAGATAAGCACTTCCTGTGTGGTCCTCACAGCCTCCGAGGCTGGTAGAACTCACCCAGTTTTATCAGTGAGGAAACTGAGACCCAGAACTGAAGGCACTCATCTCGGATCATTCACAAGTGGAGCAGTCAAGAAACAAGCTCTGGTTGTCCCACATCAGGGTTCATGTCTGGAACTGCTCTGCTGGTTTCCCCAGAGCCTCAGCTCCTGACAGTGGGAGAGCAATACTTGCCCCAAGGGCTGTGGAGGGGATCCGAGATCACGCTGGGACAGTGCCAGGCCTAGCAGAGTGAGCACCCAGGTGCTGAACCCACGTGCATTCCCCTTCTCCTCTCTGCCTCTGTTAGCCCATCTCTGGGGTTGTTAAAGGGTGAGGCTGCAGGGGCCTTGGCAGGCAACTGCAAGTAGAGCCCGTATACCCTCATACCTGGGATGCTGGCCCTGATGGGAGTGTTGCTCTGCCAGGGGTACCTGCATCCTTGTCTCAGACCTGTCCTGCCCAGGCCACTGCTACTGCACCTGCTGCTACCTCTGATCCTACCTTGAGGGATGGGACCCCTACTGTGGTGCCTCAGCCAGATGCTTGTTATATACCCCAGCCTGGGACTCAGTTCTGAGAAGTTCCAGTGGGACGGGGCCGGGCAGGATGAGCCAGGCCAACATATCCAGGCAAGGCATGGGCGCAGCGCACATACACAGGTGTGGGATACCTGGGTGAGCACAAGGGCGGTACCTGCACCCCTAGGCCCCAGAACCCTATTCTTAACACCACTGGATCACGTTTCTAACCCACCCTTTGCCCCATGAATGAGATGCCAGCCCTGCCCACAGGGAACTCCCAAACTCTCAGCCTGGAGGCCTGGAGAGAGGATAAGGGATGTACAGTGAAAACCTCAGCACAGCTCAGGGTGTGACCAAGGAGGAACGGGAGGTTGGGGACCGCTTCTCCAAGGAGGTAGTGCTGGGGCACCACGAGCTGATGTCTGAGTGAGTGAAGAAAGGAAAGGCGTTCCATTCCCAGGGAACAGCTCCAGCAGGCCTGGGGGCATTCAAGTTCCTGACCCGTTCCGGGTCTGATCACTCCCATGCGGCTACAGCCTAACACGTGGGGTGTATGCAGATGGGAGAGGTGTCTGACCGTGTTGGTAGACCTCGAACACCAAGCTGAAGATTCTGAAAAATGTCTGAATTAAATTGTCAGCGAGTTGGAAGGGCAGGCGTCCCAGGAGGGGCACAGCCCCAGCAAAGGCGTGGGGGTGGGGGTAGCTGTGCTGAGATGGACAACTGGCCAGACGGGCGCACAGGCCCCGGTTGGGGAGATGATGTACGGGTCTCCACAGTCAGGCGGACCCTCCCAAAGTCAGGAACAGCACACAGCATGTGAGGAGTTTACTGCCCTCCACCTCAGACGTCTACCCTCCTGGCAAGGGCCAGAGAGGAACAAAGGGACCGGCGGGGGCCCGAGACGCAGACTGCCCTTCAGCCACTGCTCCACCTCACTATGGGTGAACCTGGCCCAGGCCTTGCAGGAGAGCAGGGGGTGGGGGTGTGGCTTGTGGCCTATTTACTCCCCAAACAGGATTTCCTTCTGGTTTTGATGCATGGAAAAGGCATAACATCTGGAAATAGGAAGCAGAACAGCTTCTAAAACCCAGCTGCGGGCGCCTTGCCTTGGAACAGCCCCAAGCAGAGCAGGCCCGCAGTTGTGGCCGGGTCTTCAAGGGAGAGGCGCTGGGAGTGCCCTCCCCAGACCGGCCGTTGTCTCTGAGTCCTTGTCCTCACTTCTGTCCTGGCCTAGAGGATGGAACCAGTGGCTCAAGAGAGGGAGCCGGGCCTCCTCTGATTTGCTTCTTCTTAAGAGTCACCTCGCCCTGCCCCCTGCTCCTGGGAAGACAGCAAGCACAGAGGCAGATGTGGTCTGCGTCCTATCCCAACCCTGTGACTACCCTAGGAAGCCTCCATCTCTGAGGTGGGGATGTTGGGGCTGCTCACTTTTTGATTGTCGTATGGTTAAACCTCCAGCATCATGCCTGGACAGAGAGCAGATGCAGGCCAGGGTACCTCCTCCTCCTGCCCATGGCAGGCACCTTGTGAATGGAAGCTGGACAGTGAGGAGAAGCAGGAAAGGGCAGCCAGTCACACGGGGACCAGGAAATGCTCCTCGGGGCTGTGTGTGAAGGATCTTGCAGGCTGACGGGGGTTGGACAGACTGTTACCAGAGATAAGACATTCCTTGCTGAGTGTCTTGCAGGAACAAAGACTCGGAATTACCTGGCAGACCCTTGCTGCTGTGAACCTTGGGTGGGGAGTCAAGAGGGGCCAGAGGTGTGGAGGGCTGGGTGTTTGAATGTTAGGCCCAAGGGGATTTAGGCGAGAGCAGCAGGGTCTCTTTCATACGTCAGAGCCTCCTGGGGTAGCTGTGTAGAGGGTAGGGAGGAAGGAGTTTGAAGTTAGAGGACTCTGGGGGGAGAGATGGGAGCTGGACAGAAGCTGCCGGAATCGGCACTGTCTGTGTTCCCTTCTGTCCATGCTCACCCCCAACCAGGGACATCACATGTCTGTGCTGTACCCACTGCATGCTCACTGCCTGGCGTGGGGCTTGGTGCATACTTGGGGCATTGAACAGATGAACAGCCAAATGATAAGTCAGAGACTCTGAGTTTACAAGTGTGGTCATTGTTCTGACAGCAATCAGCGTGATGCTGTGTTCTAGGGGGGCAAAGCCCTTTGACAGTCAGTGTCCCACCCCTTGGGGCTTTCATATCAGCCATGGATGTTGGCCACACAGCCTTAAGTTTGTAGGCAAGGAATTAAGGCACAGACATATCAAGGGCACTGCTCAGAGCCTCACTGGGAGAGGACCCGACTAAAATCCAGGCCTTGGGTTCCAAATCCAGGGCTGTCTACACCGGACACGTGCCTGCACCCTGTCCATTCAGGGCTGCGCTACCGTAAGAATGGCATGTCACTTCCAGACACCATTGGAGGGCAGACCCATCCGGAGACAGAAGGACCAGTTTTTTGTCAAGTCCTAGTGGCCATTTCTAAATTGGGGATGGATTTTTTTCTGGACCCACCAGACCTTCTCAGATAAGAGTCTGGGTCCTGGGCACTTCATGGGGAGCTGAACTGGGGCACCGGGAGGCCCCGGGAAGGGCCGGTGGGGGGTTGGCAGGAGAGCAGATGCCATGGCCCATTTCTGGGCTGGGCGGTGGGTGCTCAGGGGCCTGAAGAGCGCCCCTCAACCGGCCTCTCCTGCAGTTCGAGGGCTGCAGCAAGGCCTTCTCGCGGCTGGAGAATCTCAAGATCCACCTGCGGAGCCACACGGGTGAGAAGCCGTACCTGTGCCAGCACCCAGGCTGTCAGAAGGCCTTCAGCAACTCCAGCGACCGCGCCAAGCACCAGCGCACCCACCTTGACACGGTAGGCCCGGGGGGCAGAGGCCGAGGGTGGGGGTAGAGGACAAGCACTCCACCCGTATTTGTCTGATGCAGGGCAGCAGCCACCTCCAGGCAGAAACCCTGCCTTCAGCCTTGTGGACATTTTGGGCAGGGAGAGGGAAGTACCATCATTTAGGGTGTTTAGCCACCTTCCTGGCCTCTTTTGTTGTTTTAGTTGCTAAGTTGTGTCCCTACAAACTCTTTTGCCACCCTGTGAACTACAGCCCGCCAGGCTCCTCTGTCCATGGGATTTCGCAGGCAAGAATACTCGAGTGGGTTGCCATTTCCTTCTCCAGGGGCCCTTCTCCACCCAGGGATCGAACCTGTGGCTTCTGCCGTGTCTCTTGCATTGCAGGCGGATTCTTTACCACTGAGCCACTTGGGGACGCCTCTGTCCATTAGATGGGAGCGATTTTCTACTTCCCAGTTGTGACAATGAAAAATGTCTTTCAGTGTTGAAAAAACTCCTGGGGAGGAGGAATTAAACTCTCCCCTAGTTGAGAACCACCAGCCCAAGCAGTAGTGCGGGTCCCGCTGAGTGGGGGTGCGGGGCGGGGTGGGGGCAGGGCAGCTCACATCCTGCATCTTCTCCCTGGGCCTGTCGGTCACTCAAAGCCAGTCCTCCCTGCTCTTCCTCGCCCACCCCCACCCTGACCCCCAGCATGGAGACAGGCCAGAGGCTCTCCAAGGCCTTGCTTATCTCCTGGACACAGTGGGTAAGCCATTGAGGTAAGCAGGGCCCAAGACTCCAGGCCCCTGGATCAGTGACCTGGGCCCCAGATGCCGGTGTGTCCACCTCCTCTCCTGTTTGTGCCAGTGTGATAGATAACCTGTGGCTCCACCACAGCACAGGTCCAAGCATTCTGTGCTGTGCATACAGACCTTAGCGATTAATAGAGCACTTCTACAACATCGTCTCCCATCATCTCTGCCGGTCAGCGGGTCACGAGCCCATTTGACAGATGAGGAAAGTGGGGCTCCGGGCAGTCTCCTACTCAGCCTGAAGGTGGCAGAGTTGACTGGGGCCTTCCCCCAGTCTCACAGCACCTATGTGAGGGGATGCACCAGCCTGGGAGACCCCCGGCCCCTCAGTGCAGCAGGAGACGGGTCCATAGCCAGACTCCACATCTGGACCACTGGCCTATATCTCTGCTGTTTGTGTGAATGTTTGGGGAACTCTGCCGGTGGGGGCCTGGGAGACCTGTGTGGTCGTGCGGCCCAGCTTGTCCAGTAACACGGACATACAGATGTGGAAACAGAGGCCCAGATGGGCGATTGACCCTTCCAGGGTAAGTCGGAGGCCACATGGCAACAAGTCAGAGCTGGAGGCCCTCTGGGGGTTTTATAGCTGGGAAAACCAAGATCCCCAAAAGATGGGGGAGGTGGAAAGCAGAAAATAGCATGGGAGTCATGTTTGGGGGCCCGGCCGGGCCCTAGGCAGAGTGTTCTACACATCTCCCCGTCCCCTGAGATCACACACACCCTCCCCCAATTTAATCCTAGTGAAACCACAAGGTAGGGGCCTGTTCCCATTCTGCATACACAGAAACTGAGGCTCAGAGATGAAATCATTGACTGTCACGTGGCTGGGAAGTGGGGGAGCTGGGATGCAACCCAGTCTGTCTGATCGCTAGTTCAGTGCCCCTTGCTGAAGAAGGGGAGAAGCGCGGAGGGGATGAGGTAGGAGGGAAGAGCCCTGCCCCCAACCTGAGCCCGATCACTCTCCCCCCCACCCCCACCTCAGGCTTACTGTCTTGGGGTTGGGGACATGGAGTGAAGAGGTATGCTAGTAAACCCCTCTGCCTCCATCATCTTCTTATACCTAGCCCCTGGGGCCCTTGGCACCTAAAGCAGCCCTGAGAGGTACACGCAGCAGCCCCAGCAACACCAGGCCCCTCTGCACCCCCTCCCCCAGGCCTCCCTCCAGGCATCTCGGGGTCACCTACCCTGACTTACCCCTTCCTCCCCTCTCCTTACTGAATTTCCTGGCCCCAGCCCCAAAGCAACAGGCCTCTGGCCCCCCACTTGTGTGTGAATGGAGCTCCGAGGGCAGGGTCAGGGCAGGCCCAGAATGAGCCCATGGGGTTATCTCAGTACTGCATCTCCCCAGAAGGTCCTGGTCAAGCCCAGCCCCCGCGCCAGGCCCATGGAGACACTACAGTGGCTCCCCATGGCTAGGTTGCTTTCCCAGCACCCGAGTCTCAGGCCCATGGGGTCAGCCCCATGCAGGCTGGGCCTTGTTTTCCAGAGGGGACCTGGTCATGTTCCCAGCTCCCCTCTGGCACCAGAGAATGTGGGATTCTCTCCACGGGCTGGAAAGCAGTGGAATAGACTGGAGAGAGCCAGCCTGGATTCTAATCCCAGCCCTCCATCTGTTCCCAGAGATCTGAGAAGTGCCACCCAGCCTCTCTGGGCCTCAAACACTCCTACCTTACAGGAGAGGGATGGGGAAATCCACTGAGGCGACAGGTGTGGTGACCAGACACAGGGTCTGCTCAGCACACTTGAGTCGCTGACCTACCTGTGACTCACTGACTGCTTACTGACCAAATCCTGCCACATCCCAGCTACTCCACGTGCAGTTCAAGTCCTGACTGCCACAGACTGTCCTGCCCTGGCCTCGGTTTCCTTACAGGGAAGATGGGGGCAATAGTCACTCCTTAGTCCACTTCCCTGGACCGTTCAGGGCTGCAGAAGAGAGGGGGCACCTTAGCAGAGGGGCATGGGCACTGCACTTCTGCAGGATCTTGGGCAAAGCGTCAGGCTCAGTTTCCTCATCTGTAAAGTGGGGGTGCTTTTTATGGGGTGGGTGTGCGACTGAGAGGAGATCGCAGCCGGCCAGCACTGAGCACAGTGCCTGCACATTGGGGGGGGCTCAGTATGTGAGGGGCCGTCTTGTGCATGGGTCAGGAGGGTGCTGTGAGGTGCTCGATGCCCACAGCATGGCCCGGAGTGTCCTGCTGTGAGCGAAGCCTTGAAGCTGGTGTGGTGACTGCAGGCCTGGGGCTTGGCTGCTGCTTGGGACAGCCAGCCACAGGGTTTCCTGAGGGCTCCTGGGGGAGCTGAGCTAGAGGAATGTTCTACACACGTCAGGCCCTGGAAAAACAAACACAGAGATGGGCCTTGTGCCCTCTTTCCAGGCTAGGGCGCCTGCACAAACGGAGCTCTGTTTGTTTGCTTTTTGACAAAAGCGCGTGGATTTGTATCAGAGTCCCCTGGGGACAGGGCCTGGGGCAGAGCAGGGCAGGGCCCATGAGAGAACGTGCGTGCGTGCGTGCGTGCGTGTGTGTGTGTGTGTGTGTGTTGGGGTGGGAATCAGGACCAAGAAAAAAGGGCCCTGTGGGGTGTGGGTCTGTGTCTGTGTCTCTGGGTGGTTGTGTGGGGGGCAGGTCCGAGGCCTGCCTTCCACCCTCCCACTGTACCTGCCCTTCAGCGAGGCCAGCCCCTCACTGCTCTGTCTCTCTCTTTGCTCTCCTCTGCTTCTTTAACCTGGCAACTCTCCGCGGCAGCACCAAGGTATGGCCCTCTGTTTCTGCTCCCCGCCCCCAACCCCACGCTGCCCAGCAGGGCTGGCTCACATCGAGGTATAGGGGCAGTTCAGTAGGCATGGCTGGTGGGGACGTAGGCATCACCTCCAAACGTCCCCCACCACAGTGTCCCCTGCCAGTGGTTGGAGGCCAGAGGGCCCCGAGAAATCAGAGCTGCTGGACAGGGAGCCTTCAGGACTTCAAGCCCCAGTGGCAGCTGGAATCCCTGAGCTAGGTCTCATGGAGGTTTGCTTCTACAGGGAGCTCAGAATTCAGTTAGGGCCACAGAGCCCCTGACCTGGGATGAATCAGAAGGGACCCTTCCCAGAAGAAAACTCACCCCTGAACTGACCCAGCAGCACAGTTGGACAGGGCTACCGGTAGAAACTTGAGAAGTGGTGGTGGGAACCAGACTCAAGGAGAGGTTGGAGAGGAGGTGACGAGAGCTGGGTGTGCCGAGGGGTGAGGAGGGGTGAGGACTCAACCAGGGCTAAAGTCACAAAGGGCCTTCAGCGCCCGGAGATGGGCTCTATCCGAGGGCACCAGGGAGCCATGGGGGTTAGAAGGTGAGAGCGTGGCCAGGCCTGTGAGAAGGGCCCTGTGGCTGTGAATGAGAGGGGATATTGGAGGTGTAGAGAGCACACTGGGGTCTGGATAGGAACCAGGGGAGGTGGTGGGCACCGACTTGTTCTAGAAGATGAATGAGGCTCCAAGGGAAAGGGAGGTGAAGGGCACCGATGCCCAGCCTACCCAGGGCTACACCTGAGACCCAGGACCCTCTGGTCTCCTGTGATTATGGGTTTGAGGACCTACAATTCTCATAGCCTGAGGACCAGTCTGGGGACTCTGGACCCACTGCAAGGGTTGGTCAGGGGCTCCCAGCCTGGGCCCTGCCTCTCTCCAGCTTGGTCCATGTTTGTGCCCTATTGCCTTGTGCTCTGCCCCACTCCTGTTCTTCCTCTTCCTCCTCCCCCTCTGCAAGGCCACCACCTCACTTTATTCCTTGTTCACTTGCTGCTTCTCTGCAGCTCTGAGCCACAAAGGGTGTACTTTTCTCAGAGCCAGTGTCAGAGCTGGAAGAAGTCTTAGAACTTGGGGGGCGGAGAAAGTGAGAGTCCGAGAGGGGAGGCACCTTACCTGAGGTCCCAGGATGAGGGTAGAATGGAGACAAACTCCTCCTTCACCACCAGGCCAGGCACCTTCTCCCCACCCATGGGCAGGCCTGAGTCAGACTCCTCCTGGCTTAGGACACAGGGAGGGATAGGACGTGAGCCACACAGCAGGACGTAGGGCCTGGCGGGTGGCCCCCCACTCACCCCGCCTCTGCCCTCTGATGTTACAGAAGCCGTATGCCTGCCAGATCCCTGGCTGCTCCAAGCGCTACACAGACCCCAGCTCCCTCCGCAAGCACGTGAAGGCCCATTCAGCCAAAGAGCAGCAGGTGCATAAGAAGGTAAGAGGGCTCCGTTGCAGGCCCATCTCCGCAGACAACCCCCACCCCCACCCTACCCGGCCTCCCGTCCAGCATCAAGACAGGTAAAGATCACACTCCTTGCATGCATCCAGCCTTCCACACCCAAAGGTGTTACTGTTCCTCACCCTCCGTCTGCCTCCTACCAGCCCAGTTGTTAAGATAGTCCATGACTTATAGTGGTTTGGCTTCTGATGGTCCAGCTTACAATTTTTCAACTTTATGATAATACAATGGTGTTTTCACAAGTTCGGTAGAAACCACACTTTGAAGTCTGATCTTCTCCCAGGCCTGCAATGTGTAGGATCTTCTCTTGTGATGCTGGGCAGCGGCAGCTGCTCGACCACAAGGGTGAACAACTGATACACTCACAGCTGTTCTGTTCCCAGACCACCATTCTGCTTTTCACTTCCAGTACAGCATTCTGGAAATGAACTATTCGGAAGTGAGCTATTCTGGAAGTATGTTACATGAACAATTCGGCACTTTGTTTGAGACAGGCTTTGCCTCAGGTGATTTTGCCCAGCCATAGGCTTGTGTAAGGAGAAGGCAATGGCACCCCACTCCAGTGTTTTTGCCTGGAGAATCCCAGGGATGGGGGAGCCTGGTGGGCTGCCGTCTATGGGATCACATAGAGTCGGACACAACTGAAGTGACTTAGCAGCAGCAGGTTTATATAAGTGTTCTGAGCACATTTAAGATAGGGGAGGCTAAACTATGGTATTAGGTAGGTTCAGTTCAGTTCAGTTGCTCAGTCATGTCCAACTCTTTGTGACCCGAAGGACTGCAGCACGCCAGGCCTCCCTGCCCATCACAAACTCCCAGAGCTTCCTCAAACTCATGTCCATCGAGCTGGTGATGCCATCCAAGCATCTCATCCTCTGTCATCCTCTTCTCCTCCTGCCTTCAATCTTTCCCAGAATCAGGTTCTTTTCCAGTTCTTTGCATTAGGTGGCCAAAGAATTGGAGCTTCAGCTTCAGGATCAGCCCTTCCAATGAATATTCAGGACTGATTTCCTTTAGGATGGACTGGTTTGATCTCTTTGCAGTTAAAGGGACTCTTAAGAGTCTTCTCCAACCCCACAGTTCAAAAGTACCAATTCTTCGGCGCTCAACTTTCTTTATGGTCCAACTCTCACATCCATACATGACCCCTGGAAAAACCATAGCTTTAACTAGATGGACCTTTGTCGGCCAAGTCACATCTCTGCTTTTTAATATGCTCTCTAGGTTGATCATAGCTTTTCTTCCAAAGAACAAGCATCTTTTAATTTCATGGCTGCAGTCACCATCTGCAGTGATTTTGGAGCCCGAGAAAATAAAGTTTGTCACTGTTTCCATTGTTTCCCCATCTATTTGCCATGAAGTGATGGGACCAGATGCTACAATCTTCATTTTTGAATGTTGAGTTTGGTAGGTTAGGTGTGAAAGTGAAAGTGAAACTGCTCAGTCGTGTCCAACTCTTTGTGACCCCATGAGCTGTAGCCTACCAGGTTCCACCGTCCATGGGATTTTCCAGGCAAGAATACTGGAGTGGGTTGCCATTTCCTTCTCCAGGGGATCTTCCCGACCCAGGGATTGAACCCAGGTCTCCCACATTGTAGGCAGACACTTTACCATCTGAGCCACCAGGGAAGTCAGGTTAGGTGTATTAAATGCAATTTTGATTTTTTATATTTTCAGACCTTGATGGGTTTATGAGGCCATAACCTCATTATAAGTTGAGGGAGGTCTGTACTTCCTCACTCTCAGCCTGAAGACATTTATCCCCCGACCAGCTCCTCTCTCATCCATTTGCCCACTGACCCCCTTCACCAGGACATTCATTTATAAACATTTGATGTCAGGCATTCAGGATGCAAAAATAAAACCATGGTCCCACCTTCAGTGGGGACCCACAATATGACAAAGACTGCAATAGATGTGTGCAGAAAACAGTCAAAGAACTGGGAAATGGCTTGGCCTATGGCGGGGAACTGCAGGGTCATGGAAGAAGTGATAAGGGGCTGGGCTGGGGACAGTGGTGTGCAGGCTCATGGCTGCTGGCAGTGTGGCCTTGGGCACTTGTCTTAGTGCCTCTGTTCTTCATGTCCTCAGCTGTCAGATGGGGGCATAGAGGACTTGCTTTTCAGGGTTGTCATGAGGATTAAACAAGGAAATCTATGTCAAGGGTTTGTTGACCAATACTTGACCCAAAGTAAAAGTTCCGAACAGAAGTCAGGAGGTGTTGTCATTAAGTCTTAAAGGAGTAAGCGCTGGGCCTGTGAAGATGGGGCCCCAGAGAGTGACTGAAGCTTGAAACACTGTTTGAGGACCAGCCTCACACAGTCCCTGCCTGTCTCTGGGCTGAGCAGTGAGGCATGGAGGAGAGGCTATGGGGGTGGGGTGACAGGATGGCCCTGCAGAGGTGGCAGGGCTGTCCGGAAGATGGGGGGTTCCATCGAGGGGTTGTAGGCAGAGATGGGACACGTCACCCTGAAAGGTGGCAGTGGGGGCCGTGTAGAGAATGGGTCGAGGTGGTTAGAGGGACATTCGAGACAGGGAGGCCGCTGCTGGGGGCAGGAGAGACATGGGGTGTGGGGGCTGACCTGGGGCAGGGTGGGAGGGGAGGAAGAGGGACTGGGCTTGGTGACTGCTTGGCTGGGTTGGGGGAACATGGCAGGAGGAGCGTGTGTCAGATGTTGGAGAGGAGGGCAGGATGGGTGGATGGTGATCCCCTTCACCAGGACAGAGTATCTGAGAAAGAAGCAGGCTTGCAGGAGAAAGCAGCGGGTTCTGTTTTGGACAGGAGGCGTATGAACCGCTGAGGGACCCAGTGCGGTCGGAGGGACAGAACTGCAACTCGGGGCAGGACCTTACCTGGCTGGGTTTAAGCCACATCTCCCAAGGACCACTGGGGCCACAGGTCCTTGAGTGTCAGGAAGGGTGTGTGGCAGGGAGAGAAACACGAGGCCAATCTTGAGCCATCAGTGTGACAGAGGAGGACAGAGTGGGAAGACCCCATTAATTTGTTAAGCGGGATTCAGGAGCAGCTCCTGTTCTCCAAGCAGTGTTCTCAGAATTGTGGATACAGTGTAAAGAGGGCAGGAAAAGGCCTAGAGGCTGGAGAAGTAGACTGTTGTATAATCCAGGAGGTAGGGGTATACAGAAATGGGGTGCTAGGAGCAAGCAGACCTCAGTGGCAAAGAAAATGGGGAGGGGACAGCTTGGCTCGGGAGCCCCCTGGAAGCTGTAGAGCAGAGGAAGTGTGATCACAGCATTTGCTGTAAGCTTGCGGTGAACACAGCACAACCACATTCACCCTGAGAAGGGAGGGATGAATCTGGTGCTTCACAGGCTGTATCTCATCTAGGCCTCACTATAATCTTAGGAAGTGGGAGATTCCTCCCCATTTTAGAGATGTGGAAACTGAGGTTCAAAGAGGTAACAAGTCTGCCCAGGGTTGTGTGGTGTGGGAGGGACAGAGCCAGACCCATCTGCTTCCAGGGCACGAGCTCTGTCCACCGCTTTCAGGTTGAGGAGCCTGGGCAGGGACAGGGAATGGCCCGGGCTCCACACCAGGGAGGCTTCTGTCCTGAGCGGACTGATGCCCAAGGACCAGAATCCTGCCCTGGTTTTCCCAGGCCCCGTGTTTGGCTCGTGCTGAGCCCCTGGGACCTGGGGCCGCAGATCTGCAAACTTCCCAACAATAAGCATCCATTAAAAGCCATTGGGGATGATGTATCTTTCTGGGTAAAGCGACCCTTGTATTATGACAGCTCCTTGGCAGCCCTGCTGCGTTTCAGAGAGAATTAGAAATGCTTTTCTTCCTTAATTCTCCTCTCCCGCTGCTCCTAATCCGATCGACATTGCGGTCTGCAAGAACATGCCTTGGCCCTCTTTTGCCAGAAACTTAATTTACATGGAAAACAGCTGCTGGGTCAGGGAGCCGAGAGCCCTTCAGGAGGCTAGGCATGCCTTCCCTGGGCCTGGGTGCTGGCCCAGCAGGTCTGGGTGCTGGCCCGGCCGGCCTGGGAGGGTGGAAAACCCTCGGGCTGACTCCCAGCTGCCGTGTGATGTGCCACGAGGCTGTTGCCTTCTCTGGGTTGGTTTTGTCCCAGTTAAAATGAGGGCCTGGACGAGTCAATCTTCAGGCCTCTGATGGTCAGCTTTGGGATTTCCCTGGGAGAAGGAACCCTTCCTACCCCGGTGCACAACCCCTCATCACTCGAGGACCCCTGAGCCCGTCTGGTCCCAGTTGGAGATGTGAAGATGTTCTGAGGAGTCAAGCTCAAGTCTGTATTTAGGGATAGCTGAGGACGATTGGCCAAAGACTTGCCAACCCCAGTGTGCTGTTAGCCGACACCCTCAAGGCCAGGTATCGACTCAGCGGGCCCACCGTCTCGTGACCGTGGGGGACTCAGCCAGTGGAGTCAGCCAGCCCTTAACCCAACACCTCCAACCGTTGTTCACACCTGTCCTCTCATCACCCCTCTCAGCAGCCTGGCCTGAGGGGTGATTATTGCTGCTTAGGACGGCGGGAAGGGAGAGTCAGAGAGGTATTTGTCTAGTGTCACACAGGAAGTGAGAAGAAATGGAGCAGGATGGGGGTCCAGGTCTTCTGTCCCCAGCCCTGGACTCTTTCTGCTGCATTTTGTGCCAGGAAGGAAGAGAGATGGGAGTGGGGAGGAAGGAGGGAAAGACTCTTACTGCACATTTGCTGTATCCTACTCCCCCAGTGTCAGTCAGGCCAGTCGTGGCCCAAGAACCTGCCCCACAGACCTCCAGCCTCCTGGGAGGCCCAGCTGCTGCACTTCGGTGCCCTCCTGGTATCTGTGCCAAGGCCACGCCCCCAGCGGGGGCTCCCAGCTAGTGACGGAGCCCGGGAGGCCCTGGAGGGATGTGAGGCCAGACCACTTCCTGGGAGACTTGGGACCCCACCGACTTCCAGCAGACTTAGGTGCCCTGAGGACTCCCTGGTCCCTGGGCTCCCAGTCTAGGAAGCGCCCACCAACTTCCTCTCCCTCCGTTCTTCGTTCTGTCTGGTGGCTTTCCCAGCACGCCCAGCTCTCCCTCACCTATTAAAAAATTGTTGCATGCTCAGTCTCGTCTTAGCATCTGCTTCTCAGCCTTGAACCAGCACCACTCTCACCGTGTCCACAATTAGCTCCATTTGACAGCTGAGGAATCTGGGGGGCAGTGAAGGAGGGGTCGCGCCCTGGAGCCACAGTCCTTCCTGCCCTGTCCCCTAGAGTGAGACTTGCTGGGGGGCAGGTGGTCTCATGCTAACCCCCTCTCTCCCTCTGCTCACTCCCCAGCTGCACACAGGCCCTGATGCTGAGGCTGACGTCCTGACCGAGTGTCTGGCCCTGCAGCAGCTCCACACGTCCACACAGCTGGCTGCCAGCGACGGGAAGGGTGGCCGCGCCCTAGGCCAGGAACTGCTCCCAGGTAGGCAAGCGGGGAGGCAGGGCCGAGGGGGAGCCCTTTCTGCAGCCAGCCCTGCAGGCAGATGGCTGTGCTCCATGGGCAGCAGGGGCCACGTGGGCACGACCTGCTGGAGGCACCCACTCCTTGGGCCTTCATTGCCCTGCAGCTCATCTCCCCAGGCCTATGTTGCTTCATACCCACTCCTCTGTGACTCACCATTGCCTGTGGGATGAAGTCCAGGCTCCTCCCCAGCCTCCTGGGGCTTAGGCATTCCTGGTGGCCTCCTGCCCCAAGCTTGGCACATTGGACGAGGTTCCCTGCACACACCAGCCTCCCTCTTGCCCAGGAACCACCGTACACACCTTGCCAGCCTCCACTCCCTGCACCTTCACTACAACAGGTCCCGCACTTTCTTCAGGACCCACCTCAGGGTTCATGCCTGGGCCCCAACTTAAAGTCCCATGTACTCCCCACCACGATTCCCTGCTTCAGAAGAGAAAACCGAAGCTCTGAGAGGATGGGCAGCTTGGCTGTAATTGCTTCCAGCTCATCATAAGATAGGGCCCCCCCAGGGCCCTGGGACCCTGCCACCCATCCATCCAGACGCTCAGAGCCTCCGGTGTAGCTGAGGCAGCCTGTCTGCCCCTCCCAGCAGCCGTGGGCCACGGGGCAGGTCTCAGGCCCCGGCTGGAATTCCTGGCTTCTTGGGAACCCAGCCCAGCAAAGGGCAGTGTAGCCCCTGGATTCCAGCTGACAATTCTTTTGCTCTGCCCCTTTCCCTGCCCCCTGAAAAAACCACAGTATCAGAGCAGAAAGCTTTTCCCATCCTCTGGGATTTCTTGAATTACCCCAACCATTTTAAACATTTTTTATTTTCTAGTTTTTTAAAATTCTTCCCCCTTAGCCTTAAAGTTGCAGCATGTTTAAAACTCTATCAAAGCACTTACCAAATAGCCTTGGGAAAAGAAGGTATTTTCCCTTTCTCTAGGCAGCCCTTCACAGGTCTGTGCTCAGACAGATCCACAAGGGTGAGGATAACCCAGGAGAATGGGTCCATGGAGGAGGGACCATACCCACCTCCCTCCAACTAGGGGTCCCTTCTGCCATGGCTGCACCTCACAGGGTCAAAGTTGCTAAAATACAGGGACCCTAGTAGAGAAGAGGCCCTAGAGCTGACCCAGTCTAGGGATGAAGGTTTGTGTCTCAAGTGCCAGCTGCCTGGAGCTGGAGCTCTGTATTGAGAAGGCTTCTGAGGCTTAGCAGGAAAGAGGGCTGGGACTGGTTAACAGTGGTTGCCCTGGGACAGAGGGGCAGAAGTCCTATAGCTGCATTGTTTTTACCACGGGAGATCTCAGGTCTGGGCAGGAAAAGGACTGGCCTAAGGTCATCCAGGAAGGTCAGCAACAGATCCCATTTGGAAGCCTGTTCTCCCAGGTATCAGCCCAAGGCTTGTCTCAGGGAGGGCAGTCAGGACCAGCAACATCTCTTGAGCACCTTCTCAGGCTGGTCACTTTACAGCATCATCTCATCCAGTCCCCAGTGAGCCCATGCTGCAGATGAGAAGCAGTCATGAGAGGCAGCATTGTGGATGGGAGGGGCAGTGGGGTAGCACCAAGCCTGCACAGGCCTGCTCTAGCAGTGGGTCAGCAGCGTCTCCGCTGCTTGAGCCTGAGTTTCCCAACGGCCCCCCCCCACCCAGAAATCTGCTGTGACAACAAATGTGATTGTGGATATGATTACGTATATAAAACCAATGTGATGGAGAATTTTGTCATTATTATTGTTGCTTACAGTGAAGGAGAAGAGTAGCTGTTTACTCATCCATCTCATGATAATGCAAAAGCCATCATTTATTGAATATGTGCAGGAGCTGTTCTAGGGACTGCACATGTATGTGTTAACTAACATAATCCTCATGTCAGCCTCATAAAGTACATACTAGCATGCACTTTCTCTTCCAGACAAGGAAACTGAAGCCTTGCAAGCTTAAGTAACTTTTTGCTGAGGTTCCAAAACTAGTAAATGGCAGAGGCCGATTTGAACCCAGGCCATTTGGCTGCAGGCCATGCCCTTAACATGCTGTCTGCTGCCTATGCCATGTGTGGTGTGTGTGTGTGTGTGTGTGTGTGTGTGTGTGCGCGCGCACCCGCGTGCTCAGTCGTGTCTGACTCTTTGCGACCCCACACACTGTAACCCGCCAGGTTCCTCTGCTCCACCCTGCCATACTGAGCACCTATTGTGTTCCAGACTCTGTGCGGGTCCCGTGCTCGAGCTACTTCCAGCACTGCAGGGAGAAAAGGGCCAGCCAGCCAAGCCCAGGAGTCCTGTCCCCCCGGGGCCATCAGGTTCTCCTGCAGACCCCACAGCGGATGCCTCAGGCACAGTTGGGAACAGATGTTAGGGCCAGAGGTTAAGCGCTCATGGCTGATGATTGATGACGCTGACTTACAGCCTGAAGTGGTGCGTTCTGGGGAGAGAATGAACGGGCCAGCCCTATGGTATCCCCACCCCTGCTGCTCCTTACGATAACCGTGGCTCCCTCCTTCCTGCCCACTGTCTGTCCACATGTTCAACATGCCTGGTTCACACACTCAGTCGCCCACTGTATATTTGCCCTCGGGGGCTGGACAGGGAGGCACCTGGACCGGGGCCGGGCAAAAGCAAGGGAAGGTGTGGACAGAAGAGTCCAGAACAGAGGGGTGAGGTGAGGGAGGGGTTGGTGAGAGTGGCCTCCAATCTTCACTGCCTGACTGTGTGAAGCCCCCCTGAGCTTGCCTATCATCAGGAAGGACCAGCTCTCCTCACAGGAAACCCTCAGGAATTTACCTGGCAGGCCTCCTTCAAGCCGCCCCAGGTAACGAGATGGGCAGTGAGGACGTGAGAAGCATGAGGTCAGCACGGCTGAGGGAAAGGGAGCAGGATTTATCAGGACTCTAGGCCTTCCCAACTGTCAGGCCCCCAAATTGGTTCAAGATGGCAGGCGAGGAGGTGCCGCAGAGAGAGGTGAGTGCAACAAGGCGTGAGCAGCGCTGAGCCAGGCCCCGTCCGCAGAAGCCCCCCTCCTGTGCCGTCCTGGCCACACTGGGAGGGATGTGTGACTGGGGGAGGAGGCAGATGGACGGATGGCTGGTGGTGTCCGTGGGAGCAGAGATGCCCGAGACGGGGCAGGAGGGACTGGGGCTGAGAGGCAGAGGGCCCTCAAGAGCCCATTCAGAGCCTGGGTCTCACAGCCTGGCAGTGGAGCCTGCACCAGAGGCCCTTAGCCTGACAGGCCAGTGCCTGAGCCGGAGCCTGACTTTAAATGAACTTTCTCTTGGTATCATTTGGGAGGACTGATTAGCTGCCCATTGCATGACTTTTGGCAAATTACTGCAGTTCTTAAGACTTAGTTTCTTCATCTTAAAATGAGATCATGTTATCTCCCCAAATTGACAGTTGTTGAGATGCTTAAACTTGATAGTGTGGGAAAAGACCTTGATGTGTAAGTATATTCTTAATGAATTGTTGTCAATAATAATACATTTATTGAAGAGTAGAATGTCACCTAATATAACCCCTCCATTGAATGTCTATTGCTCTAACTCTAGGCCAGGGTTGCAAACTGTTTTTGGTCTACAAACTATGCAGTGCCATAGTCCCCACCACTTCCTATCATTATCCCCTGCCAGTTCACTTATTCTGCTCCCTGCTGTGCCACCTAAGGCACTGAGCGTGCAATCCCTGCCCTTGTCCTGCTCAGTTCCTGGTAGTGGTTCCCTGAATCGCAGGCCTGGGATGGGCTAGTCTTGGAACCCCAACCAAGGGGTTGAGAAAGGAAAAGTTCCTCCTTGACCTCACCCATGAAAAGAGTGTGGTCTGTTTTCCAGTGGTCCTCGTGCGGTGCTGAGAGCATTGAGTGTGGATCCAGGATGACCAGAGTGACACTCAGAATGTAACAGCTGAGTACCTGATGCAGCCTCAGTGCAGCTCAGGGCCTGGTCCACAGGTCCACAGAGTCCTCCCAGGGCATCAACTTGATGAATTGATTTCTGGGAAAATTATGTCAATTTCTATGGAAATCAGTAAATGTGGCAGATTAAAGAGGGGGTGCAAAATTGGCCCCATTTTTTCAGATAAAATAGGGAACATCAAAAAATTGCAACCCTTGCTGTGACCTCCTCAGGCTCCAGTCCCAGAGGAAGGACTCGTTCTCCTGTCTTAATTCAGGTTCCTTGTGAAGGTCTTTGGGAAGCGTTGGCCTTGGTCACTACTCTCAGGCCCTCAGTGGGGTCCCTGGAGCAACATGTGACTGACATGTGTCAGTCATGACATATGTTGACCCCCCCCTTCCCTGAGCAAGATGTGTCCCCCATTTGATTCATTAGCCAACCTGTCTTCTTAACAAGGGAAAAACCCTAGGGAGTAAAAGGTGATAAAAGGTGGTCCCACTTGCAGGCGTCTTCCAGAGGTTTAGAAACTGAGACTCGAGCACGGCTGACACCTGTGCTCAGTTGAGATTCTCTTACAGTGTACATCCTACACAACCGTCTGTGGCATCCCTTTTCCCAGGCTGACCTGCCATCCAGCTAGCACAGCCATCCTGTCTCTGGAACCCCTCACGGCAGACATCCAGGCTCTCCTCGCACACCTCTGCGGACGGGCAGTTCATTTTCTCCAAGGGCAGCCTGTGACCCTACCGCAAGTCTGCCTGAGCTCCAGTCTGCTTCTCTCAAGCTTCCTTTCATCCCAGGGCCTCTGTCTACTGGGGCTCCATGGAGCAAGCTCCTTCTTTCCCAGAACAGCTCCAGAGATTTGAGGCGGCTTACTCCATTCAAATCTGCCTCTGCCCCAGTAAATATACACACACACACACTCTCTCTCTCTGTCTCTCTCTCTCTCTCTCTCTCTCTCTCTCTCTCTCTCTCACAGGGTCCAACCACCCCACACCTCTGACAGCCCCATGTCAGCCCACCTCTGTGCTCAGCATGGACCTCAGCGCCACACAAAACCCTTCAGCTACAGCATGAACAGAGCACAGTGGGGCCATTATCTCCCCCGTCTTTGCTCCTAACCATCTAGGAATACAACTTTGCTGGTTTCGCTTCTTGTCTTTCTCTCTCCATAAGCAGGCACACAGTTCCTGGGGTAACTACAGCCGTCTCTAGGGAGCAGCCGAAGTCCAGTGATAATTGTTTGCTTCCCTACAGGCATGTATCCTGGCTCCATCACCCCCCATAATGGGCTGGCAGCAAGCATCCTGCCCTCTATGCCTGATGTCCCTTCCAGGCACCACCCACTGGACTCCACCACCAGTTCCCACCACCACCTGTCCCCTCTGCCCACGGCTGAGAGCACCCGGGATGGGTATGTATAGCAAGCCAGTCCTCCTCCTCTGGGGCAGCAGATGGGCACCTGCACGGGCGGCAGGTGAGGGCAGGCATCCCACACTCTAAATGGTTGTTACTGATAATGAAGGTAGCCAGCATTTATGCAGCACCTACTGAGTACTGTGCTCTGTACCAAATACTCACTGGGCACAATTTCCTCCTTGCCTCACAGGCATCCTACCAGGTGGATTATATTATCATGGGGCTTCCTGGCACCTCACCTCGTGCCCCGTCCCCTCCCCAGTGGGGGCGGCCCCAGGAAGGTGCTGCATACCCCCTACCCCTGACCCTGACCCAGACCCTCTGGGCTGGGCTGCTGCACCCAGGCCTTCTTGGGAGCCTCACCCTGACTTCTCTTTGGCTTGTACTGTGTGTTTGGTGAGCAGATTATTTGCCCCCACCACCCACTCTGTAGATGCCCACCTAGGCCTCGTCCCCACTTCTGGCCCTGCAGCTGTGACCACTGGCCGGGGCTGTCCAGAAGGCTTTACTGCAGGACCCCTTCAGGAAGGGGGCCTTTTCCTCCATTCAGTGTGATTCCCGTTGTGGTCACTTAATTGTCTAGAAACAAAGAATGTGTTAATTGTTGGCACCTAATACTTGGGAAATCTTTTCCTTGCAAATGAGTAGAGGGAAGCCTCACAGCCCTTCCCCCTACCCTTCTTGCTACTTTTGCTCATCAACAGCAAGACTTGAGCAATCTTGTCCCCCGAAGCCTGATCCCACCACCTTCCTCCTCCCCTGTCCTTCCTTCTCAAGGTCGAAGCCTTGGCATTGGCCTTGGCCTGCTTGTGCCTGGGGCCGCTGGCCTGAGTTCATTACCCAGTTTGTTGTCCAGTGCTCCTCCTGCTACTCACTCACCTGTTTCTCTCAGTGTCCAGTTACTGATCCCCTGGTATGGGGCCACTGATTCCCCCAGCCCTGGTGAAGCTCCCTGTGATAGACCTACAGGGATTTCCCACACTGGGCGAGTAACCCTCTGGGAAGAAAGAAGAGGCTGTGGAAAGCCAGAGAAGAACCCAGTGCAGTGGGGGAATATATCAGGGAGGGCTTCCTGGAGGTGATGCTAAGCGGGGCCTCCAAGGTTAAGTAGGAGTGGAGAGGTTGGGAGGAAGGGCAGGTGTGGTGAGAGCGTAGTGTGTTCTGGGAAGCCTGGACCTTCATGTGGGGTGACACGGTCAGGAGAGAGGTCACCAGGGCCAGATCACGAGGCCTATGACAGGACTTGTCTGCAAGGTGTTGAGCAGTGAGCAAGTCAGGTTTGGGGATGAGAAGACACAGCTTGCAGTGTGGGGCTGGACTGCAGTGTCCACAGTGAGTGAATGGCAGCTCAAGCCAGCACCGGTGGGAGGGAGGAGGGACCCCCAGCAGGCGAGAGTCCCATGGAGTGAGCAGGACTTGAGGACAGTCTGGCCGGGTTGGGAGAGGAGAGCTTGTCAGAGGTGAACCCATGGGCATGCAGGGTGTGCCCTAGATGTTCACGGAGCAGGGAAGTCTGGCTGTGTATGCCAAAGAGCCACAAAGAGGCAGCCTGATGGAGCACCAAGGGGAACCCAGAAAATCAAGTCTTCCTGGAGCCTAGCTTCCTCATCTGTAAAATGGGCATTAAAATACCCTTCTCTGCGAAAGTGGTGAGGATCAGGTACACAAGCCTGATATTTTATGTGTCATCTGGTATAGGCTCCATGGACACTAGCCTCCTGTCCCTCACTCACCCACCCACCCACCGGCTCCGGCCACCTGCTCACCCACAGCCAGCCCCCAAACATCTCCAGCCAAAGACAAATAAAGCACAGAGGCCTTTCCCCACTCGGGCCTGTGCACTCTGCTCCGCCTCATTCATCACCTGCCTGCTGCCTGCGTAAGTGCCCATCAAGAATTCCTGCAGCGAGAGGCAGAGTGATGACAAGACTGAGACGGGACCCCCAGCCCGCCCGGCCACCCGCGCCTGCGGGAGCGACAGGCAAGCCATCCCCACCAGCCAGGCGCCCAGGCTCCCCCGGGGCTGCCTGAGAGAAGGGCCCTCATGCCTGACACTAGGACCGGGCCCAGCTTGAATGGGTTTCTTTTTTCAGCCCCTGAGAAGAGGCAAGGAAGGGGGGAAAGCCTTCAGCCTCCCTTTCCTGCCAAAATCAACAAGGAAGGCCACTCGTGGCTCCCCGGCGGTTTGCTGGGACGTTAAATAGCTTGACAGAATTATCTGATTCACTCAAAAATATGCTAAGAGGGCCTGACTTCATGACCAAATTTATTTACCCTGGCTCAGAGAAGACGCCCAATAGGGTGGTTTTTTTTTTTTTCCTCCCCGGCCATGTACGAGGTATGAAGCTCTCGTCTGCCAGGCCAGTGAGGTTTTTATTAATTTTTATAGGTTCCAATTGAAGCAAAAATATTTGATTTAGGGATCATTTGCATGACTCAGAAGAGGCGCTCCAGACGATCTTTTTTCCTCTAGAGTTCAGGTAGAGCGGTAGAACCTCAGCCTCCCCGTCCACTTCGGAGAGAGTCGTGTTCTGTTTAATTTCACTGGCTGTGAAGGTGGCAAATGTGAATTTATGGCAGGTTTGAGACAGGAAAAACAAACTTTGAAAATGCATGTTTTTTCCCCTTCAGATCTGGTTCTCCTTAAAAGTCTGCAGTGCTGTTAATCTCTGGATTTTGTAGTTGAGTGATTCAGAAACCCATTTGTTACTATTTATCAGCTGTTTGCTGTGTGCCAGGCCTGGTGCTGAGCAGGGAGTGACTGAGAAGACCAGGCCTGGCCCTCCCCACAGGGTCTCTCCCAATAGAGAGGATGGACAGGAAGTAGGGGAAGAGCTGGGGTGTGGGTGCCAGGATGGGGTTGGCATAAGACAGGAGGGTACCACGCAGCAGGCTGGAGTGGGGAGGGGCCACCCTTCCGGCCACGCCTGGGCTCAGCCTCGGCCCAGAGAACTGGTTTTGAGGACACATGGCTTGTACACCGCCCTCCACAGTTTCTAGAGCACAGTTGTAGACCCACTTGATGACCCTGTGAGAACAGGCTTAGAAATATTAATGATGGTGATAATGATGGTTAACTCATGGAGCCTTGAAGAGGATCATTTCATTAACTTCAGGAGGCTGGCCTGGACCTCCAGTGTTTCCGATCCTGGCCTGGGGACCAGGGTCCCAGTGCGGAAGCCCTCTTCTGCTGTCTTCAGCACAGTCACAGAGGTGCGTGTCCCAGACGCTGGAATGATGACAATGCAGTGTCATCACAGGGGCAGGGACAGCAGGAGGCCGGCGTTAAGAGAGAGCAGATGGGGACCCTGCAGAACTACAGATGTGAAGACCACCAGCCTCTCCCCAGATCTCCTTTCTCCGTTTCGAGAAAGACACTGGTCTGTCATGCTTCCTCAAGTCTTAGAGGGTGGGCAGGGATAGCATGGCTAGCGTGGAGAGGTTACATGGAGCTATGACAGTGAGTGTATGGGGTATTTTAACATGAATGGTCCAACATAGCCATTAATGCAAAGAAGAAACTAAAGACTCTGAACCTCCACACTCTCTGTCTTTCTGCAATCATTGCACATAAATAGTTCAGAGGCTGTGAGCCTTCAGCCCAGTCCCCCTGACCCCAGAGTCATTGTGGTTCGCGTGAGCAGACCTCAAGGGCTCAGGAAGGTGGCACAAGGAAGGGACCTGATGTCCAGTGATGTGCAGCCTGGTTAGACATCCTGCCAGGGCTCATCTGGGTTCAGGGCCAACAACTGTTAGCCACTGTGGTCTTATTTCAGAATGTGAGCTTCCTTCAGGCTTTGTACAAGTGGAGGTGGTGAGTCCCCCATCACAGGATGTATGCAAGTGGAGGAGAGATGGCGAGAGATGTAGACAGAAAATCCCTAAAAGTACACCATGCAGGAGACTAAAGCCCAACTTGGACAACAGGCCTAACTGCTAGTTTTCCTTCCCTTCATCTTGATGATAATGCTGATGATTCATGGAGTGGCTAAGAATGTTTCTGACATCATCCTGGCTGCTGTGTCTTCATTGTTTTATTTAATTTTACCCTCACAGAACCCACGAGATCAGTGCTGTGTGTCTGGGACTAACTTGGACAACCTCTATGAACCTTGACTGTCTCTCTTCTCTCCAGGTTGGGACCTGGCCTCCTCTCACCCATGGTCAGTCCACTGAAGGGGCTTGGGCCACCCCCATTGCCACCATCCTCCCAGAGCCATTCTCCGGGGGGCCAGCCCTTCCCCACGCTCCCCAGCAAGCCACCCTACCCGCCCTTCCAGAGCCCTCCTCCCCAGCCTCTGCCCAGCCCTCAAGGTAAGCTCTGGCCGGGATGGAGTGGGCCCTTTGCAGATATACCCAGTGACTCCCGCTCGGGCTGCGTGAGAGGAAGGAGACACTGGCTCTCGGGGTGGCAGTCAGGTACCTGGGATGGTGGCTGCCACGAGGGCCACGCTGGGAGAAGGCGAGAGACAGGTGACCCGATGTGCCTCACTGGGGGTCTCTTCCAGGAGGAAATTTGTCATGAGGGGTGAGAAAGAGTTTGTCCCATCCACCAGGCATCAAAGGGAACATCATGGGGAGCAGTGACTGGAGGTGGGGATGGCTGGCTCTTTGGAGGAGCTGTGAGCGATGGGGTATCTTAGAGCAGAAAGGCATGGAGGACCCTGAGTCCCTGCCCTCCAAGCACTGTCGGCAGATGCAGCCATGTGACAGCACTTTGCTCAGCTCTCTCTAGGGTGGGACCCCCGGCACCTCCAGGCCCTCTGGCCTGGGGCTCTCTCCTCCCGTTCACACCCACCAGGCCCACAGGACAGTGTGGGAGGCTGAGCAGCACAGCGGGGACCGGGACGGTCCCCTCCTCCCTCTCTGGGCATCTTCCCTCTGAATGCAGCCCCTGCCGCCTCCCCCTGCAGGCTACCAGGGCAGCTTCCACTCCATCCAGAATTGCTTCCCCTATGGTGACTGCTACCGGTTGGCCGAGCAGGCAGCCAGTGGGGACGGACTGGCGGGGGAGGCCCATGGTTTCAACCCGCTGCGGCCCAACGGCTGTCATGGCCTTAGTGCACCTTTACCTGCCCCAGGTAAGCCTGTCCTGCGTGCCTCCTTCCCATTCTTGTGCTCTGTGCTTTGTGCATGTCGGGATGGAGAACCCACTGAGAGGGGAGGGCTGCACACAGCCCAGGTGGAATTGGGCCCAGACCACAGGGCCTGGTCGGAGTAAGAGCATCAGAAGCGGGGTCTAGAAATTCCCAGATCAGTCTCAGGGCTCAGAGCTAGCTGGAAGCTACAAGGACTGGGCAGGATGGGGGCACCAGACAAAGGGGAGACTGGTATCCTGTCCCAAGGCCCTTTGGGCAGCTGTGGGCGTGCAGTAGGGGGTGGGGGAACGAGCACCAAGGCACAGCTGAGCACACACAAACCTGTGGGTCATCTGCATGTGAGCCTGTGTATCCCTGCTCACACACATGCTCCCAGGTCTGCACATGTCTTCTTTCTGCACGTGTTTGTGGGGCCTGTCTGTGTGGACACGGGTATGCATGTGCATGTAAGGTCAGCACAGGGTCTTCCTGGCAGTGTGAGCCCGCTGTGTGTGTAAGGAACTCCCTGGCACGTGTGCTCCACATCGCGTTTGTGCTGACGTTCACGCCCTGTCTGTGCACACGTGTCCTCCTCCTGTGATCCCTCCTTTGTGTGTGTGCACACATGTGTGTGCATGGTTGTGTATTAGCAAGTTTGGGCCATTTTGTATGATGGTGCTTGTGTGCAGGTGTATGGCTGTGTGTTCAAGTACAGTATACTCTGTGAGTGGACACGTGTCACACATGTACACTGGATATGTACCTGCTCAAAGGTGTACTGGGGGTGGGCGGGAGGTGGGGAACACGGAGGAGTGTGTTCTGTTTGCTCACACGTGGTTGGTGTGAGTTCTCCAGCCTGGACCCTGTCCCCCACATCCACAGGCTACGAGGCCCTGACCGAGGCCCCGTGTCCCCCAACGCTGCCACCGCAGTCATCTGAGGACGTCGTGTCCAGCGGCCCCGAGGACTGCGGCTTCTTCCCTAACGGGGCTTTTGACCACTGCCTGAGTCACATCCCCTCCATCTACACAGACACCTGAATGCCGCCCACACCTGCCTGCCCTCCACCGCCGATGCTACCCCCCCGCCACCGGCCGGCTGTTCCCACCTTCGGAGCACCCAGCCGGAGCAGCCAGGCCACTGCTCCCCAGAACGCAGCCGGGTCTGGCCACGAGTGAGCCTCTAAGCCCCAGCCAGGTGCTCAGAGGTGCCCGTCAGGATCCGTGACCTGTGACATCCCTTGAGTGTGTCTTCCTCTTGTCTCCCCAGTGGTTTTGAAATCACAGACCTCGTGTATATAAATTGTACAGAACTTGTTTTCCATGCCCCTGCCAGTTTTATATTTTTGGTTTTACAAGAAAAACATTAAAAACTGGAAACGAGACTTGGGGGCTGCTTTGTGATTCAGCCTAGAGGCTGAGACCAGGAGGGTGTAACGGGGCAGGGGTGCAGAGCCCAGCTTGGTCCCTGACTTCTGTCGGTGGGAACCCTGTCACATGGTCCCGCGTGTGCTGTGGGCCTTACAGACACCAGCACGGGTCCCAGGACAACAGTGAAAGGCAAAAGCTCATGCACGCTGGCAGGCAGGCAGACCAAGGCTGGGGCTGAAATTGGAATTCCAACATGACCCAGACCTTTGCTCTCTGCACTGACTCCTCGGTTGATGGAAAAACATGCTTCACTCCTGAAGCTGGCTTTGGGTAAACAGGCGAGGCCTTCCAGGGACAGAGCCCAGACAGCCTCGGCAGGCAAGGGGCAGAGAAGCAGGGCCCCTGAAGATGGAAGTGCAGAGAACCTCCTTTGTACATAGAGCCCCGCACACCCCGAGTAGCTCAGGAGGATGGGGAGAGGAGGCCAGCTCTGAGGGCACCAAGGTTCCCTTCCCACAAGGCCGCCGCCCTCCCCTCCCTCCCTCCCTCCCCGCAGCCCAGGCCTGTGCAGGTGTCTGAACAGCGTCCTGTGTCTCACCTCGTCACCCTGAAGGTCACCTGGTTAAAAAAAAAATCCTCAAGGAAAATTTTTGCCATGTCACTGCTGAAGTGAAGTGAAGCAAAGGAGGCCATGTTTACTGAGCACCTACTGTGTGCAGGGCTCTCCTCCACCCGACACTACCCCTGCTCGGGGAAGCAGCCCTGTGGAGGGTCTTTCTATCCCAGTTTAGGTGAGAGGAGCAGCTGGGATCTAAACCCAGGTCAAAAGGACGCCATCCTTTCATACTGCATGGTCAGTTTAGGCAAAGCAAGATGCAAAGATCCAGTCAACCTCTTCTTAAGAAGAGAGGTAACTAGGATTCAGAAGGGCCACCCAACCAAGTGGGGCAGAACCCGTGATGCGTGGCCAATCCCGCCCCATAATCTATGGGGGCTTGTGATGGCTGCTGTGTGCCAGCTTGTGGGCTTCCTGGGTCAGCTCATTCACACCAGATGGACGCTCTGCCTGCCCTTGTCCAGGGCTGACCTATCTCGGGCTCCCTTGCCGCTGGCTCCTGGCTGTCTGCAGCCCATGAGGAGCCTAGCATGGCAGGGAGGGGGAGGAAGTGCTGCCCCTGGAGACCCGTGTCTTCCTGTGAAAGTCAAGGGCCTTCTCACATGGCCCACATTCTCCACTTCAGTCAGGGGCTGGCGCTGGAATCACTCCCACTCTTAGGAAAGTCAGGACACTGCACTGTCCTGACTTGTTAGCCTGACACCCAGCTCACAGCCTGTGTGTCATCCCTCGTTGAACCTTCCTTGGCTGCCCCAGACTGCAAGGGCCATGTGTTTCCTGCCACAGCCAGGCTGACAGTTCCTCCCATTTTACAGATGCGGAGACTGAGGGACGGTGAAGTCAAGTCACCTGTCCTTACAGTACAGCCAGGAGATGTTGAGCTGGGATCCAGACCCAGGCCTCAGGCCCCAGAGTACATGCTCTCACCCCTCTGACCCCTCGAAGACGGGGTGACCTGGCCCCCACCTCCTCTCCTGGCCCCAGCCTCCCAGAGGGCAGGCCAGTCTAAGCCCCTCGCAGGGAGCAATGGGCCCAATGTCACTCATCACATCAGCATGTGTGATGGGGACCCGGGGCTTCTGACTCCCACCCAGCCTCCCCTCGCCCCCTAGTCCCATCCCCCACTGGGTTTGTGGAACTAATTAGGTCGTGGCAAAATTCCTTTAACAGGGATGCTCAGGAATCAATACTGCTTGTCATTGTGAGCACTTAATCCACTCCAGATAAGCAGAATTAAACTGTACAATGAGAACATATTTTTATTAATAATGAAAAGGGCTGAGCCGTGAGCGGGAGAACACACAGGGAGCTGGCAGTTGGATCCCATTTAATTTCAGAGAGATGGAGAGAGGGAGAAAAGGAGACAAAGGCAGGAGAAACAAAGGACAGAGAGAGAGAACGGGACTGGAGACCAGGCAGGGGCCCAGAGCCGGTGCGCCATGGGGCTCCGTGGGTCACAACTTCCGTGAACGACCCTGAACAGGGATTGCTCCTCTGCCCTGCTGGGGTCTCCTCGGAGCCTCTGATCCTCCTCCTGGCATCATCAGGGGGACCCTCTGTCCTGATGCCCTGAGACCACAGGTTCCCTCCAGTTCTAAGGGTGCATAACAGCAGGTTGGACCCCAGGGCAGGGCCTGCTGGGAGACTGGACCTGAGCCCCTCCCTGGCCAGGGCTCCCTGCCTCCCTTATTTAGAAAACACCATGATCCGTGCCCCTCCTGAGCCCTGCCCCCCTCTGCTAGGGACTCGGCCGCAAGAGGGGCACCGAGGGCATGGGGATTACTGCCCCTATGAGGAGGCACACCCGCTGCCCACCCCACACCCCCAGGAGGACTGGAGTCAGATGGCGGCCGTGGTGCTTCTCACCTGAGGAGCCTCTCTGGGCCGTGGAGCTGAGTTAGCCCAGGGGTCCCCTAAGAAGAACCCAGAGTGCAGACCCACAGGCCTGTAGAGACTGTGACCACACTGCCCTCCCCGCCCAGCCCCGCAGACAGCCCGGCAGCCCTAGCCTTTGTCCAGGCCACGCTGAGACTGGCCACCTCCGCTGCGCCTGGTCTGTCTCCATCAGGGGCCCTCTGACCCCCATCTCCCTTCCCTCTATCTCCCCGCTCCCTTTCCCTGTCTTCCCGTTTCTCCACAGCATCCTTTTCCTCCCTCCTCCTCCAATTCTCTCCCTCCTCCCTTTCTCCACTCCTCCGAATTCATGGCTTTGCTTCTCTTTCCCCGTGTTCTCGTTCCCTTTCTCTTTAAGCTGTGAGGTCTGACCCCAGATGAGGCTCTCTTCTCTCTCTCCCTATCCTCCTGTATGTGCTTCCTCCTTCCTTCCTCCTGTCCGATTCTCTGTGGTCCAGGGGCCCGAGGGGACTTGCCCAAGGTGCAGAAGAGGGCTGAGAAGCAGACCTAGAGGAGGTCAGTGGGGAGAGGTTTTGGGGAGAGCAGCCAGTGGGTTTTTCCCTGAGTAATATTTTATGCAGCATTTCTATGTGTTTGGAGTGGGGTTAGGTGAAGGGGTGTGGTGTCAACTCGGATCAGCCTCTGTCGGAAAGTGGAATCTCCAGCCCTGTGCGTCAGGGCTTGTTTTCTTCTGCCGTGGAAAACCAGGCCGCAGCCAGTAGTTTCAAGCTCCTCCCACATTGCGTGTCTACTGACACGCTGTCTGCCTAGATGCCTCACAGTGGAAGTGACGGCGAGGCCTCTTCCGGTGACTTCAGGGTTGCTGGATCCCTCTGCCTGTGACTCCCCCCACACTCACATTCAGGCCGCTGCCTGTTCCTGGGCCCCTCGATCCCAGGGCAGCCGGCAGGAGCCCCAGAGCCGTGCGAGATGGAGCCCATTTGGTTGAGTCCTAGGCAGTCAGACCCAGGTGGGCAGGAAGGAGCACCCCAGAGTGGGGGTGGCGACCTGGCCCGCTGCTGCTCTGCCACTGCAGCCCCAGCTGCCCTATTTCTACCGCCGGGACAGGAGCCCATGACACTGACCCCTTCCTCAACCTGAATTCCACCTGCCAGGTGGGGTGAATGGGTTTCAGGATCTCCCCTTGCACCCAGGGTCCCCTTGATGGTGGGTGCATACCTGGAGACCCAGGGACTCCCTCCGCCTCTCCGTCCTCTATTCCTGATGGCCCTTGTGGTTCCCTGTGACCCAGGACCCTCAGGGCTGAGAGGGCCCCCAGAGGCCCCCACTCCACTCCCACCTTCATAGATGGAGAAAGGACCAGAGAGACTCCATTTCTGCACCCCTTTACAGCCTCCATCCACACCCCCTAGTCCAGCCTAATGGGCATGGAGAATGGGGCTGCAGGCAAGGGAGTAGTCAGGGTGATGTGCCAGGTTTGTACCTGAGATGCTGCCTTCCACCTGTGCCCATGGAGGAACGGACTGGGGAAGTTCCCACTAGGACATTTGCCCTGTGAGGGCAGGTCCTGACCTGTCCTCCTCACTGCTGACTGCCCAGCTCCTAGGGCAGTGCTGGGCACACAGAGGTGCTCAATGTATGCTTGTCACATACATCAGTGGAGCAGAGAGATGGGAGCAAGGAAACATGGGCCTGTCTGCATAGAACCCCATGCACAGTACAAGTATTTGTTATGTCAACTGCCTGACCAGTCCCTCATCTTAAAAATGAGGAGCCCAATGGGGATGTGATGTGTCCAAAGTGACAGAGAAGGTCAGTGACAGGCAGGGGAGAATCCCAGCCTCCTGGGTCCAGCCTGCGCTCTGTCCACACACCCTGCCAGAAAATCTGCTGCAGCCCATGCTTTATGGCTCCTATGGAGCCTGTGAGACACTGCGGCAAGTGCTCAGCAAGGTAAGCGCGACGGCCCCATTTTACAGAGGAAGGAAGTGAAGGAAGGAATGTCCTTTGCAGGGGAAGGAACTGAGGCTCAGAGAGGTGGCTCGCCCAAGGCTGCCAAGAGAGTCAGGGCAGACAGAGTGGGAATCCCAGTGCAGGGCCTGGGGGATGGCCCGAGGAGTTCTGGCACACGCCCCTCTGCGCCATCCAGAGGGGACCGTTACACTTTTACAAGTGTCGATTTATATACTTGCCTGGGTTGTCAGCCCTGCCAGGGATTATAGGTCCCTAAGTGATCGTGTCTCTCTGGAAAATGCAAACGGAAAGTGAACCA